AGTCTTATTGCAGTGGGGAGGAATAGTGAAATCATAGTAATAATTAGTTCAGTCAGACAACTCATGTTTGAAATGTTTATTACAGCAGTAAGTATCTAGACTTGACTTCATTAGCAAATACCTTAAACTACTACTTTCCCCTCTCCAAACCACAGATTGCTGGCCAGCGTCTGGCTGACCAGATCCCCCTGGTGATCCGCTACCAGATGTTGCAGGAGTCTGCCATCCAACTGCAGAGAGAGATGCTGCAGATGCTTCAGGACAAAGAGAAAAACAAGGTCCTGCTTCACGAAGACTCTGGCATAACAAACAAGAGAATCCACCTTCAGAAGCGCCTTGAGCGCCTGTCAAAGGCACGCCTTCTGTTGATTGACTTCAGCATGAACATATACAACTTCAACACAACACAACTGTAGTGCAAACCAGATTTTTAATAGAAGAAGACGCTCAGATATTATATTGGTTACATAGATTTATATGTTTTTGGCATAATTAGTCATGTATTTTATTAAAATAAAAAGAGGGAGTTGTTACATTATCAGATTATATATTCTATTATGTGCTTATGTTTCATGAATAATTTCAGACGTATTCCATTCCATGTTAGTTATTGTGCATATTTTGTTGTGTTTGTTGTTTTTTTCTGGGTTTTTGAGTAGTATAGTTTTGCTTTTGATTTGACACCCTACATTGAACCACAAGAGCTGCCTCTAAATTAATCTGAAGCAGGCATGTTTGGTCTAAGCATATATTTTAGGGGTTCAGCTTTACAGACATTTTCACCAGTAATAACAGAAAAAGTACAGTTTTAACTAATAATATTAATATTGAGGCTCAGTTCCATTGGAGTGTCCCAGTGAGCCATCATTGTAAGAGGGTCCAACAGGAGGGAGGTGTGTCTACTCTTTTGAAGCACTTTCCCCACAAGAACTTTATTTAACAACATTTAATAACGTAAAACTTAAGTAGCATTAATGTAATATTAGGTTAAAATACTAGTTATATATTCAAGAATCCTAATTTACCACCGCACACAGAAATGACTTTACTGTGATTTATTAGGAGTGAGCGACGTGTTTCGCCTGTAGCTTCCTCAAGTTTGCTGATCCAAAGGGGAATCATTACAGTGTGCCAGGTTTGATTTTTAACTACATGACTGTTTGTTTATGAGTCATAGCCCACTAGTTATATATTTCTTGTAGAGTGTACAGTGAGAAATGAACAAGTTAGCTAATAAATATAAGGTTAGACTGGTTGTTTGTAATGGTGGTGTGTACAGTATAACAGTCAAGAACTGTAAAACCATGTGCCAAAGATTGTAATGTTTACATGACTTATCCTCTAAAATAAACAGAAAATAAACAAATAACGTAAATTCTCTTGTATTGCTGAAGCTAGTGTTTGATTTTAATGAATTTTCTTTATGAGTGCCTCAAATAGGTATAGTGTATTGATAATGCATCACATACAAAATTGACATAAGGTTATTTACTTGAGTTTTTTGTAAAATAATTTTTGCTAACTTTGTTGACAAACACATAATCACGTTACGCACCTTAATTTGCCCAGCATTACTTCAACATTCCACTTTGGCTTTCTTACAGGTTTTTGTATATTTTACATTTTAATTAAAGTAACTTTCTTTTTGAGCAGCTGTTTTCTGTTGCATATTTGTGACCACTACTGAGGTGTTGTTGCTCTAGAACATTTGCTTAAAAGAAGTATCTCACATTCCCATTTTGCACATTTTTGTTTCTATGAAAACATGGCAGAATGCAGAGTAAAATATATTATAGAGTCATAATGTGGAGACTTAGACCCATTGTTCATATAATTCAAAAAGGAGTTTTACTTTATAAGTGTGACACTAGGCAGATCTAGAGGGGTGGCATCGGGGGCAGCTGTCACCCCTAAAATTGTCTGGCCACCCCAGTTTGGTGCCAAATTCTGCCAAATTTAATACATTAGCTTAGATTTTTGTTTTTAAATAACTGAGGTGAGAATTTAAGAAAGAAAATTTGAACTTCTCTCTCAAGCTCTCTTACATTCTTGACTACTTTTCTTACTTTTCTTTTGTAAAACCACATGCAACATCAGGAATGCCTTTTACTGAAGGTGTGTGGTGTTGATGCATGACACACAAAGAATATAAGTCATTAAGAAGCTGAGTGCATGCAGTAGGGGTCAAAGGACAAATAGTATTTATTTAGCCCACAAATGTAATAATCCAATCATTATGATTAATCTTAAACATAATAATCAAAATTAGATTTTACATTATTAATGATGTTGTTTAAAACGTATCTTTACTTGCGTTGGACAAACAATTTGTGGACCGTGAAAACAAAATGGTTTTTTTTCTCTCGACTTCTCGGAAAGCAAAGGTAACATTGGTGAATCCCAGAAAGCAATGGATACTAACCTAATAATAACTAATCGTGGATATGAACAAAGAAAAGAGAAAATTTGTTTGTATATCTCTCCTGTGACAGCAGGTTTTTCACCCCACATTCAAGTGTGACCACAGGGAGAGTGGTGTGCTTTTCACGTGACAGTGAAGACTGATATCGCTGGAATAAACTGTAGAGCGTTGTGTCATGTATGAATGGTTTATTCAGGAATGCAACTTTTAAATAAAAAAAAAAAGCAGAAAAAAAGTAACAAAAACATCTCTGACAATGGGCCCATAAAAGAGGTCCACAGACGAACTGTTTGTGCCATTAGAATTTAGTTTTTGAGTTCAAATATGTCATTTGAGAAGCTTTTCTAAGCAAACATTGATATATGTGATTGCTTGTGATTGACGCATATATTTTCGCCACCCCTTAAAGTCGCCATGCCACCAAGCCACCCCATGAATATCTCTCTAAAACCACCTGTTATCTATTTTACATAAAATGTGCCTAAGTTGAATTTACAGTATATTACCTCAAGTATTGACCCTGACTAGTCAACTAGGTAGGCTCCTTCACAAAACCTTAAAACTAAAGCATTTGTCACATGAGGAACACACCCTATTTTTCTGGTTGCAGCACGATGTGCACTATTTACATCCGTCACACTGAGCTGATTAAAAGCTGACTTTCGACAACACTGGCAAGAATTTTCATTTAGTTATCTTTCATTTCCTTTTTACAGGAGACAAGAAGTCCTCATCATGAACACTCTGAACCAGCAGTATGAGGAGAAGGTGCGTCCCTGCATTGACCTCATTGACTCTCTTCGCTCTCTGGGTGTAGAGAAGGACTTGGCGCTGCCTGCTATCGCCGTGATTGGAGACCAAAGCTCGGGGAAGAGCTCCGTGTTGGAGGCGCTGTCAGGGGTGGCTCTGCCGAGAGGGAGTGGTAAGTTACAGTCAGTGGCAATCTATCTAGCTTTGTTTTGGTTTCCTCCATCATTTTGCTAGATGCTTCATACTGTTCAATAGTTGAATTTTTTCCATCTGCCTTTTGGCACTGACTCCTCATTTTTAATGTGACTCACACTTGAGCTGGTGCATCACATTGAGGTGAATGTTACTTGTTGCTTCCCCTAAAGAATCTACTGTGTAAATGATTAATAGACCATCTTAGGTGTTAAGGTTTTGCTCACTGTGTAATTTGCAGAGATCCCTGCCTCGACTTGAAGAGCAGATAGAGGAGAAACTACAACAGACTCGTGCAGAGCTGGAGAGATATGGCAACGACGGACCTCCATCCCCTTGACCGGCAGCCTGAGAGAACTCCATCTTCCCTCATTGGATGTACTCCTTTCCACACCTACAATACGAGTTTAACCTGCCTCATTCACCCAAACATGGAATTTTGTTCTTTTTAATACATATGAAAACACCCATGTAAACCAACTTGTTTCAGAAAGGTGACAGGCGTTCACTCAAGGAATGCCCATCAGTCCTGACTAAAGGGGAAGGGAACTCAAGGTGTGGGAGACCAGGCCTCAAAACTGTCCTTTATCCCTACACTCTCAGAAAAGAAAGCGTGTATGGGGAAGTGGAAATTCCCACCCTGGACCCGCTCAAGAGGAGAAAACCCTGTTGGTGTTCTCCATTTTGAATCTGGGTCCCTACAAACGTCAAACAAGCAGGACTCTTTCATGGCAAGCAACTGGTTGTTTTTGGTGTTCAGTTTAAACGAAGAAAAACTTCTGAGGAGAGGGTGGGAGGAGTATGAAAGAAAGAGGTTTACCCCGTGGGAAAGGAGAAGCTTGCCGGGCTTTCATCAACTACAAGACTTCTGAGTTCACTGGGCTCAAAGGATGCCAGAATCAAACCAGCCCTGGAAAGACACCAGCCTTGTCAAGAGAACTAAAAGGGAACATAGGAGGGTATACTGGAG